CACACACACACACACACACACACACACACACACACACACACATTATTCTTCATTCTTGCAAACTGCTAGGTAGTCCCTCCTCCGCCTCTTCCCTCCCTTCTTTTCTAGAGACAAGCTCTCAGGATGTTGTCTCTACTGGCTTTCATATAAGTCCTCAGCTTTAGCCTCCCAAGAACTCTTTGTTTTTGCTAAATGGGTAATAAATGATAAACATAAAAACTCTTTGGAAACAGAACATTACAGAAGGAAATGTTTTAAGACTTATCAAACACTTGTAATTCTATGTAACTAAAATGTGAGTAACCTAAAACTTCAAATTGCATTTAATCAAGGAATGTATTTCTGCTAGATACTAAATATTTAGCAAAACACGTTACCAGTATTAGAAATGGTTAGTATGTCTATGGCGATCACTGAAACACTTATATAAAAAATGTAAAATCCAAAGTGGTTTAGCCACACTAATTAATTAAAGGCCACAATCCCCCCTGGGGGGAGGAGGACTAACAAGATCTGTAATTACAGGAGGGGACATTTCTGAACAAAGTACTGTCCACCAAATAGAGAGGTGTGAAAGAAAAAAATGTAAAATCTAATGAAGCTTTATACTTTTAGTATTTTCAAGTAATTTTGAAACTGCCTCTGAAAATAAAGTTCTGATCATATCTTTCCCAAAGACATTAAAAAAAAATTGTCCAGGTCTGGAAAGATGGCTCAAAGGTTAAGAGTGAATACTACATACTATTCTTCTTTCTGAGTTCAGTTCCCAGCATCCATATCAAGTGGCTTATAACCACCCATAACTCCAGCTTCAGGGGATCCAACTCTCTCTTCTGGCCTCTGTGGGCACTGTATTCACATGCACATACTCGCGAATACATGAACACATAATTAAAAATAAAAATAAGGGACAAGGAGATGGCTCAGTAGGTAGAAGTGTTCACCAAGCATGACAATCTGAGTTCAACTCCTGGGACCTACACGGTAAGAGAGAACCAACTCTTGCAAGTTGTCCTCTGATCTCCACATGTGCACTGTGGTCCACAAGGGTACATGCATGCATACACACAATACAACTGTAATAAAAATTAAAGATAAAATAAAAAGAAAATCTTTTCAAAAACTGTTCAAAAGAAGCCAAGCAAGACATGTAAGAATTAGTATGAAGCCAGGTTGGTTTTTCTTATTAACAGAAGTAGCTACTGCAGATGTGAAAATCCAGCAACTCAGAGGAAGAAAAACATGTTCATCTTCAAAGCTTGCTTAAAAAAAAAAAAGAAAGAAATTATAAATCAAGGTAATATACACCATGTTTCTTGTTTTCCATGGGCATCAAAATATTAAATCTAATGAAAAAGGGTATGAACTTAACCAAGAGCATCTACTTACACCTTCATTTTCAAAGTGGAGTCCAACTATCTTCTCTGTATCAGAAACTTTCCCCTTTGAACACCTGAAGAAAAAACAATTAAGAAACTATAGACTTCTGCTGCTCAACCAGACACATACTAGTTTCAGAAACAGAACTGACTAAACTGGATATGTTGGTGCACACCTGTAATCCCAGAACTCAGGGAGGTGGAGGCAGGATGATCAGGAGTTCAAGGCTACATAGTGAGTTTGAGGCTAGCCTGGGCTATGTGATCCTGTCTCAAAAAAGAAAAAAAAATTAAAAGATTAATCTATAAACAAAAATGGCCTTAAAGAGTGCTGACACTGCCCTTTCTCTGCTTCCTGGCAGAGACATAAACTGTGCTGTTCTACTAAGCACTCCTCACCATGATGGACTGAACCCTCCGTAAATCTTCCCTCCCTCAGTTGTTTCTTGTCAGGTATTTTAATCAAAGTGATGGAAGGTAACTAATACGAAAGAACCAGAGAAGTGAGGTTGTTGCTATAACTAAACCTGACTGTGTGAGTTCTTACACTTTGGACCTAGTTTGAAGGAGGAATGTGGAAAAAATGGGAGATATGGGCTAGAGACGTTCTAGAATGTCATACACAGGCTTAATGGGAGATGCTGGAGGGTGCTTAAAGATAGAATGCCCTTAGAAATGCAGACAGTAAAGACTGCACTTAGGAGATTTCAGATGGGTACAAGGATACTACAACAGGGGAAAAATTGTCCATAGTCTACAACCTGAAATTTTCTGTGGCTGAGTTTAAAGGTAATGGATGATGAAAAAGAAAAGGTGGAACATGTCTATAACCTCAGCACTCAGGGGGCAGAGACAGGAGAGGTTTCTTTTTTTGGGGGGTCTTTTTGAGACAGGGTCTCCCTGTAGCCCCAGCTGGCCTGGAACTCACTACATAGACCAGGCTGGCCTTGAACTCACAAGGATCTGCCTGCCTCTGCCTCCCAAGTGCTGGGATTAAAGGCATGTGCCACCACACCCAGCAAGAGGTTTTTGGTTTTTTTTTTAAGGCTAGCCTTACCTACATAGTTAAGACCCTGTCTCAAAAAACCTGGAAAAAGGGGTCAGGGAGATGCTCAATTGGTAAAGTGACCAGAGTTTGACCCAGATCCCATATAAAAGCTGGGTACATAAACATGCCTGCAATCCCAGAGCTGGAGAAATGGAACAAGAGGGTTCCTGAGCGTTGCTGGCCAGCCAATTTAGCCAAATAACAGAACTCCAGGTTCAGTGGAGGACCGTGTCTCAAAATCCCAAGTGGAGAGTGACTAAGGAAGACACCTGATGTCTCTACCTCTGGTCTCCACGCACGCACACACATGCATGCACACACATACATTCTCTCTCCCTCTCCCTCTCCCTCTCTCTCTCTCTCTCTCTCTCTCTCTCTCTCTAACATAGGAATTCTGAAGGCAGTATGGTATTCAGGGTGTGGCATGGCTATTACCACCTGCCTCTAGCGAAGTTTACAGTGAGAACTGGAAGCAAAAAGCAGAGCAGGATTCAAAAATGTATAATCAAGTCAAAAAGGAGCAAAGTTATCAAAAGAGATTAGTTAGTACTACTTGGGGTTGGGTGTGGTGGCACATGCCTTTAATCCCAGCACTTAGGAGGCACAGGCAATTCGATCTCTGTGAGATTGAGGCCGGACTGGTTTACACAGTGAGTTCCAGGCCAGCTGGGGCTACAGGGAGACCATGCCTCAAAAACCAAAAAAAAAAAAAGGACATTAATACTACTAAAGCACATGTGTATACACACACACACACACACACACACACACACCCGAAGCACTCTGCCAAAGTCCATACCACAGTCTTAAGAGTATAAAATGATGAACTCATTGGGGGGTGTGGGGGGTAATCTTACATTTATTCATTTATGTATGTATGTATGTATGTATGTATGTATGTATGTATGTATGTATGTGTATAGGAGCAAATGTGCCATGGCATTTGAGTGGAGGTCACAGGACAACTTGCAAGAGTTGGCTCTCTCTACCATGTGGGTTCTGGGGATTGAATTTGGGTCACTGATTCAGTGGCAAGCACCTTTAGCCACTGAGCCATCTTGCTAGCCCTCTAAACTCTTTTTAAAGACAACCCTGAAAAAAGGTGCTTTTCTTGCACAGAGCTGCCTGGAGAAGTATTTTCCCTGGTTCATCTGCCTAAACACTCAAGAAGCCACAGCAGCCAAGGAAAGGCTTAGGGACCAGGCAATGTGTAACAGGATCAGATTCCCCATGGGGAGCCTGAAAGGTAACAGGGGAAGCCTAAGCTGTAATGCAGACACCATGTATTGGAGATGCCAGAAACATGGAATGCCTGATGAGGGAAGCCCATTGAAAGAGGCCACGTAGCTTCACATGACAAGGCCATAGGGAAGGGGCCACCAAGCTCACATCCTGCCACCACGTACCTCAAATTCTGGTTATAGAACTATAAGATTTAGTGTTTTCTCTGCTGAGCTGTGGTCTGCTTTGGTCCCATCACTGTTTTCTACATCCCCATTTAATAGTCAAATTTGGAATGCAAATATTTACTCTGTGCCACTGTTTACTGGAAGTATGTAATTTCCATTTTTGTTTTTATAGGAGTTCATGGCTAAAGGTTGCCTTAAGTCTTTGAGGAGTCTTTTTTTAAAAAGAATTATTTTCGATTATGTATATATGTGAGTCTGTATGTACATGGGACTGCAGGTGCACACAGAGCCAAAAGCACTGGATCTCCTGGAGCTAGAGTTACAGGCAGTTGCGAACCACCCAAAATGGATGCTGGGAATCAAATTAAGGTCCTCTGAAGAGCAGTATGTGCTCCTAACCACTGAGCCATTTCTCTAGCCCCTAGGAGTCTTTGAACTTGAACTTTTGAATAGTAGTGGAACCTTTAAAACCATGGAGAATCTTAGAATGCATTTTGAATTATGAGATAGGCATGAACTTGGGTGGTATGTGTAGGGGGAGGTATGTAGAATGTTATGGCTTAAATTTGTACTGGGTGTCAAGTGATGGTTTTAAATGTCAACTTGAATGAGCTAAGGAACACCCAGGGCATTAATGAGGAACGTCTTTGCTTGTGTCTGTGAAATTATTTCCAAAGAGACTTAATAAGGAAGGAGACCTTCACTAAATGTAGGTGTCAGCACCCATGGGCTGGAGTCACCAAATGAGTAAAAAGCTATAAAAAGAGAAAAGCCTAATGAGCAGTAGCATTCAGTTCTCTCTGCTTACTCATCTGTCACAATAGGAGGAATCCCAGCCACCTGCTTATTGCTATGAACGCCAGCATGCCTTCCCATCATAATGAACTGTACTCCCAAACCACAAGCTAAATAAACTCCCTTAAATTGCTTCTCATCAGGTATATGGTCACAGCAATTAGAAAGGTAACTAATACAGAAAATTGGTGTAGTAAGGTCATTTCTGTGATAAGCCTGACCACGTGGTTCTTGGAACTGGTTTGTGGGAGGAATGTGAAAGAGTTTGGAATCATGGGCTAGAGAAACCCTAGTATGCTACCAACAAAGCTTAATGGGCCATTCTAATAGCAGTCTGGAAGACCAGAATGCCAAGAGAACCCAGACAGTAGAGGCCTGGCTCATGAAGTTTCATATGCAAACAAGGACTCACTGTATTGGGAACAGTATTGGGAATATAACAGGCTATGTCTGTTACATTCTGACAAAGAATCTAGCTATCTTTTATCTATGTCTTAAAACTTGAATGAGGCTGAATTAAAAAGTAATAGATTAGTTGTCTGACATAGGAAATTTCAAGACAGCATAATATCCTGACTGTGGCACAGTTACTACTGTTACGCAAGGCTGTTGGAGACTAGATGATGATACTAAGAACCCCAGACATGGAACTGCAAGATTTGATTTTTGCTCTGATGGCTTTCAGTCTTGCTTTGGCCCTAATCTTCCTTGGGATGCCCACATTTCTCCCACTTAGAGTAGGAATTTTTATTTTGTGTCACTGTTTACTAGAAATATGGAACTTTGGTTGTTCTCTAAGGGCTCACAGTTAAGAGTCTGTTTTGTGTCTCAGAAGAAACTCTGGATTTGTGTGTACGTAAATTTGCATGTGTGCATGTACACATGCATATGGAGGCCAGAGAGCAATCACAGGTATTATTACTTGGGAGTGGTCTTCCTTTTAAGACAGGGTCTCCCACATTAGCCTGGAGCCTACCAAGCAGTCTAACTTAGCTGGCTAGTGAACTCCAGGGATCCACCTGTCTCCTTTTCCCAGCACTGGGATAACAAGCTTGTACCGCTGTGTCTAGGTCTTTTATGTGGGTTCTAAGGATTGACTCAGGTCCTTACCAATTGAGCCATGTCTCTAGGCCAAATATTGGACTTCTGGTTGGGACTGTTATAGATTACAAGAACTTTTGAAGTTGAACTGAATACATTTTGCCCATGAGCCAAAGGGGACTAGAATCAGAATAGTTTGTTTTAAAGTAATGTGTTTGGGTGTCATGTTGACAAGGGTAGATTTGTGATGGTTAATCTTCACTGTCAAATTGACTGGACTTAGAACCACCTAAGAAACTGGGTATGTCTATGAGAGTTTTTCCAGAGGGATTAACTGAGGGACCAAGGCCCACAACGAATATGGGTGGTACCATTCCGTAGACTGGAAGCTGGGAAGGAATAGAAGGGGGCAGTCAGCTACAAGCCAGTCTCCCCCCTTTTTGCTTCCTGGCCTAGAGTAACAGAAACTCTGCCATGTGTACCCCATCACAATGAACTGAATGAACCCTCTGACTCTTGAGTCAAAATAAGTCATCCTTCCTCTATTAAGCTGTTTCTGTAGGAATTTTGGTCTGAGCAATAGATAGTAATACACTATGTAATTTATCAGAGAAAATAATTCAAACTCTCCTTTTTAAAAAAAACAATGTTAAGTTTAACAAAGTTGAAAAACCTCAAAAAATTACTTGAAAGATTTGTTTGGGTACTAGTACACTCATTTCTCTCCATGCTGATGTGCTTCATTAGCATGTTAATGTAGTCACTAAAATACAGTGCACTGTATAGAATTTTTACCTGATTATTAGTTCTCTGAGGATAAAGTTCATGCCTTCCTAGAACCTATCCTGTAACATAATTTATAAATAAGAAACACCTAATTTTAATTTTAATTAAAATCAGGTTCTGAAAATAACCCAAGAATATATAGTTCATATTTAGTAGTTTTATGCAGAGCTTCTCTACCACTTACAATACAGTCTAGTGGAGCAGATTTTGTCCCTTGGCCATAGCTGACAAAGTCTGCTATACTTTGACAATCATCCAAAACCCTAAGGAAGAGTGGAACCCTTATTGCTCTGTTAGAGGTAGTGGCTACAAGAGAAGCCACCCAGCCCCCACTCATAAGCACCTGCTTCTCCAAGCCCTGGTGCCTAGGAGAGGAGAGGCAATCTTCTGTTCCAGGGGCAGGCATCCAATCTACTCATCCAATCTACTCATAAATGCTGACTAGCTACAAGAGCTGAGAAGACTCACAATTTCTCAAACATGGCTATTCATAAATATAACTTGTAAGTGAAGAAACTTACTCTAAATGAAATCTTAGAATAAAATGAACTATGTACCTCTTTTCACTTCTCATTGAACAGAGAGGTCCCCTGGTTTCAACAACTCTGTCTGTGGGGATGGCAAAGAAAAGATCCTTTACTAATCAATCATAGGCTAGAATTTCAATTTGTAGTTTGTAAAGAATCAGGTCATTCATTTCTACTGAAATGCTAAAGTGAATCCAAAGATACTAACCTCCTTAACAAAGCAAGTAACCTAAAAATATATAATCGTCTTGTTCTTTAAAAATTTTTTTTATTATTTTTATTTTATGTGAATGAATATATTGCCTGCACATATGTAAGTACACCCGTATCATGCTTGAAGAAGTCAGAAGGAGGCATCAGATTCCTGGAACTGGAGTTATGGACAGCTGTTAGCTACCATGTGAGTGCTGGGACTCAAACCTGGATCCTCAGTAGTCTTAACCACTGAGCCATCTCTCCAGCCCCAATCTTCTTGTTCTTTAAATATAGTCTTTAACACAAACTGGTTCATTTGATAAACATTTTAAAGTCATTCAGCTTCTAGCCTCTGTGGGCATTGCATGCACCTGATGCACTTACATACATATACACAAACACTCATACACATAAAAAATAAAAATAATACCTGGGCATGGTGGTGCATGCCTTTAGTTCCTGCACTTAGAAGGCAGAGGAAGGCAGATCTGTTTGAGTTCAAGGCCAGCCTGGTCTACATGGTGAGTTCCAGGCCAGCTGGGACTACAGGGAGACTCTGTCTCAAAAAAAATAAATTAATTAAAAAA